TCAATCTCATCCACGGGGATGCGCCAGATTCCCTGCAGAGAAAGGAAAAGAGGAAACCTCTAAAGAGGAATCCAACTGAAAAGGACAGAAATCTTAAAATATGGGTCAGATTCTGCAGCGTACTGAATTTCACTGAGGGTGAGGGGAATAATGGACAAACGCTGCAGTCCTTCAGACAGCGAGATCCAGATTTAGAGTCAACCGATTCCTGCCAGGAGCAAAAGAGGGAACCCAGCAAAAGCCACAGCACGCCTTCTAAATACGCTTCTGAACTATTCCCAGAAAAAAGCAAGCAAAACCTAAATTATACTGTGCATTTTTCTTAAATGGCTGTGAAGACCAGAGCTCAGCTATCATAAAAAATAGCGAGTAACTTAAAATAAGATTTCCTCTCCTGGAAGCTGCTACTCCTGTGCAGCCACAGCAAGTTTTTATCTTCAAATAATCTGTTACTAAATGTCTTATGAACTTGGTTACTGCCTTGATATCATCAGTGTTCAACCATGGCAATAACCAGCCTGATAGGAAGAATCAGACTGCTCAGCAGTATGCATTTTCCAGTGGCAGATTCAAACACTTGTGTACACATCCTGAGCCTTCTAATTAAATTTCTGGGACAAGGGAACCTTTGGGGAACAAGGCTGGAGATAGAAAATATAATTTAATTATAGTTAGTCAGCTCTGATTTTGCAATGTCTAGTAAGTCTAAGGAGACATTTCAGGTGTGTAACACGGATGCTGTCAACACACTAGTCAGTCATATTTGAAAAACTGCAATGCAAATACTACTACACTTGCATGTTAGTATGGAACTTGTATTATGACTATTCACAAAACCTGCTGCTACATCAGCACAGACCCTTCCCTCACGCTTTATTCAGCTCTGAAATTTCTCCTGTAGCAGCTCTTTAAGACGAAAATCCTCTGGTCATGTATACCATTTTGTGACAATGCAAGAAAGAACAGTCTCATTGACATGACGGAGAATGAATTTTGCTTTCCAAACCTGTTCAGTGAGGAGGATATACAAATATTTACTCTTTTATCTTTGTTTAAAGGTCTTGCTTTGAGATTTTTACCTTTACTTTCAGCGTGAGCAAAATTTTGCAGAAGTTAATGCAAGGGAGAAGCAAAGAAAATGATTACTGCATTCATAAATGACATTTGACCACAGAAGAAGCAGATACGTAACCGGCTTGTCTACAACAAACCCTCCCCCTGCATGTCTTCAGAAAATCTGCAGTTCTACTCCACTGGATGTATAGGAACTTGGGAAAAAGCAACACACAAATATCAGTGTTTTTAAATAGGAAACCATGACTTCAACTAGATATAATGCACAGACTGTTCTGCCAATTTTTTTTACTCTTGCTTTTCCTCATGCTCTCTACTTTTACTCCCTACTGATCACACAGAAAGCCATTTTTCCTCTTTGCTCCCTGAAGCTTTCTTCCAAACTTTTTTTTTGGTAGCTTCCCTTTTCCAGAAAGTACCTAAAACTGTACCCTCAGTAATTTTGAGGTACAACCGTCGCTTCCTCCTGTCCCCAGCTACCAACATCCACAAGTACCTTCTGCAGCTTGGTGGCACAGATCTTATCTTCTCGTGCAGCTCAGTAGCTCTCAAGCACATACAGATCTTGTAGGTAAGAGTTCCATAAAATGGCACATACTTTATTTAAATAGAGAAGCTTTTTCTTCCCCCAAATTATAGAATGACTTTCCTTTCAGGCTACAGATGAAACACACACATTCTGGAGCTGGTATTTTTTGCTTCTCTGCACGTATGTAAACTGGGTTTCTGCCAAACCCTAAAACAACTGAATGCCTCATAATGGCACCACATTGCAACAGCCTACTTAGACAATTTAACTACACAAAACAATTTATAGTCAACTTAGATGTATACTGTAGGAATGGAAGACAGCCAACGTGTAGGTTTCTGGTCTTTTTCAGCATTACCTCATCCTTCATTTGAATTAGGCAGAATCAGTTGGAGGTTTTAGATACCGTATCTGGAATTAGTTGAAAATAATTTGCAGCTCCTTCTCACATGTTCCATGTATACACTCTAATGCTACCCTGGAAATTACAATAATGCAGTAAAACCATCTGCAATGACAGAATATGCTAATTGCAGCGAAAAAGCTGTGAAAGTGAAAGTCCATCTGACAGAAAGAAAGTTGCCCATTTTGGTGAATGCTGCTCTTCTGCCTTTCTGCAAGAACTTAAATTAAAAATCACATTAGAGGTGTTTAAGTTTACTTTATCATTGCAATTACAAAACAAGGCCTTATTTTAAAAGGAAAGTCACTAACTTTTCATGTGTTGACTTGCAGTTTTACAAATGCAAAACAGCAATAAATAAGATTACTGTCCTATGTTACACACCTGCAGCCACAAGCCAAAAGCAGAAATAAACCTGCCATCAGGAGTCAAAACAATCAGCCACGGTGATTCTATTAAGCAATATGCAAAACACTGATGTTAAAGTGAGTTTATCAGAATGTATTTCATGAGCAATGTTGAATTCTTTTTAAGATTGCAGTTTGAGTCGGAGACTAAAGAAACTGTCACATCCAAAACTCCCCCAAAGAGAGGTTTAACTAAGCCCATCAGGCATGATTTTTTCCTTCCTAAGTATTAATAACCTTTAGGAAGAATATATCTGATTTCAGATCACGTATTTCAACTTGTTTTGAAAATATAGCCTAGCATTCAGCTTTTTAAACAAAACTTAAGAACAATACAAAGCAAAGCTTGTAACGAAACAGCTCAGAAGGAGACTGGAAGACATTATTCAGTTTGACTAAAATTAAAGTTTTCATAACATCATTTGAAAAATTCAGATTTATTAGCAAAATACCTCCCTTGAAAGTACACACAGAAGGGTGCAGATCCTTGTGACAAACGCTTGCAATTCTTTGAAAGGTTTTGTTACTGATCATCACCACTCAGGCCACTTGACAAAATGTCTCCAGCTCTGCCCACCACAAGGATTTTACGTCCAATGCACCGCTCCTGTTTGCTGGCCACTGTTCCTGCAGCTGAAAGGTTCTCCTCCCTTCGGCAACAGCCAGCGAAGCTGTTTACATGAAACCAGAGGAAGGAGCGAGACGCTTCCAACAACTCCAAAACGCCTCTCAGGATCCAAAACATCAAGCTGCTCTCCATGCTTTCCTGGCTAAACAAACACTTTGCAAGAGCTGGGGGCGGGTTAATCAAGCCTGATATGCACTGCTAGAAAGAAATAAATCTGGGAGTATGAGAAAACTTAATACTGAATTTTACATTCAATATTAAACCGAGTAGTTAAGTCAGTATGCCCTATTCCTGGTGACACTTTTTACATTTTTTTCAGCTTGAAACTTGCTGCACAACCTTCCCTTGTAGAAGAACTGAAGACTCAGGGAGGAGGGTGAGGAGAGGAGGACCATGATGCACAGGGTTTTGTGAGCACAACTACGGCAATAGTGGTTACTTTCTAGTTCAGTCACTGAAAATAGAAAGGAAGGAAGTGCTTATTATTCCTCCACGCTGCTTACTCCAGAACTTTACGGGAGGCGATTCCCTGGGGTTTAGCAATGCCTCTCTGAGGAGGAAAGGCTGACAGTTCTCAACAAAACCCAAACTTCTCTGGGGATGGCTGCTGCTGACACTGCAGAGCTTCAGAGTAAGCCATTTTCTAAGCAGAGATCAAACTTCACTCTCTCAATGCTCCATGATTTCTCTTCTTAACAAAATGGAGAAATGCTAGCCATGGTTCAGATGATCCGATTCACATGTAAAAAGCAAACACATAAAACAACTACTGCTACAAATAAAGACCTCCAATTACTTATGACTCAATTCCTTTTTTTTTTTCCTTCTCTTTTTTCCCCAAGGGTCCCAGAAATGCAAGTTGCACCAACTAAAACAAACCAAATTCCACTGCTGCCTTCAAGTGACCAAAGCAAAACCAAACACTTCTTCCATCAGTATCTGCCAATCTCAGTAACGTCCTATTAAGAAGAGCCTTTACTAAAAACAAATGCAATTTAAATATTATTTGAAGATTGTTATAAAATATGACAAAACTAACAAACCAACTAATAAAGTGGTGCAGGGAAGCCAGCAATGCAAGAATCTACACAATATTTGAAAATCAGAAATTGAACTAAGTACAATTGCATAATCCCTGGAAAGCTCACATTTCCCTAAACATTTTTTTTTCCAGTTTATCTTTTAATACAGGGTTAAGCACAACATACTGAAGTACCACTAGCTTTACCCATGTCCTCTCTTTGCAGTTATCTAGGTCAACATAAGGTCTTGCACTGAGGGCCTGCAAAGGAAAGGAATACGGTTCAAGCTGAAGGGTTTCAACACAGGATTTGAAAGCTCGCTCTTTCCAGTACAGCACAGAGCCCCGAATATCCCTGCTCCTCTCTGTAACCATCGCTCTGCTTGCTGTTCAACTCAGCAAGCGTGTCTGCTTGACTCATGACTTCCTGCTAGTTCTAAGCATAACCATTAAAACCACTGCTCCCTCCCCCATTTAGCAAATTACTAAAGCACCTTTTCTCATCCAATCTTAACATGCTCCCTTATCTCTTATTATTTTACTCTGTCACCCGATTTTGGCTTTTCTTCTTTTCTACAGACAATTCTATTATTTTTCTTCCTCAATTTCTCATTCCATCCACACTGATACTCAGTATTTAGCAGAACAATTCCACCTCTGTTAACAGGAATGCAAGTGGGTACAAAAGTACTAAGAAATGAAAGCAGCTATATTCAGAATATTAAAATTATTAACTGCAGAGACTTGTGTCATCAAAGAAAAAAAAAAAGCAGCCTTTGCTTTCTGTGAGTAACAGCCAATTTCAGAAAAATCTTACTGAAAAAACGTTTTCTGAGTATTTAAGCAGGACCCCTCTTGTCTGCTGTTAGTCTTGCTCATGTTTTACAGTTAACAGAATATAAAAAATAGTAT